AACTGTCTTTTGCTTTTGCTTTTGCTTTTTGACTAAAGTGGTGACGTATAACCGGCGGTCTTCCCAGATCTTCATTGCCCATTTCTGTCATTACTTGGCAGTCAAGAGTTGAGACTCGCTGCCAGAACTTGGAGTTGCAGTGAGGACCCATTGTTTTTGCACTTATCTCTTTTCCACCTTTGCCCGTGTATGACATTCCTTTGAGATGTTTTTTGCTTGGATTCATTTTGCTTCCATGTTCCCAGACTGAGACGTTTATTTCTTTTCCTTTTGCCCATATTGTCTAAATCTTCCTCCTCATCCTGCTGTTTTGGAGTTAATGGTTAGGCTGTCTTTATGTTCAGGGCCAGAGGACTCACCACAAGATGGGGTATAGTCAGGATTGATGATGACATCATCACCATTATCATCATCATTGTCATCGTCATATACGTCCTCTTCATGGTGTGGATCTGTCTGCTTGGCATCTTCGACAACATTAACAGGAGTGTTTAAGGTATTGTCTACTCCTTCAGAAACAGAGTCTTGGTCTGTAAAATGCTGCTCCATCTCTTCAACAACAGTCTCGTCAGTTTCAGTAAACGTGGCCTGATTAGTGTCAGCATTGTTAAGTGCATCTCCTACCTAAAAGTAAAAACATTTCAACCCTTTGAGGTATACAGACACAAATATGTGAACATTTTGAACAACATTCATTGTCTAGTTGTCCTTTCTATTAAGTTACATATCTTCCTCAATTAGACCATGTAATGTGCAAAAATGAAACAAAAACTGTTGATGAAATAATGTTTAAAAATAAAGAAAAGAGTTGACAGAAAACCTTTGACTTGTAACAGCCACAGGTTCTGGAGCTCTTCAAATCTTTGCTAAATGCTAGTTTCATGGATGTAGCTACTTTGCAGACAAAAATGCTGATTAAAAGACTGAATTGAAATATTAAATAACTATGCAATATTTAAAGCCTTGTACTAATTCTCATCACTTACCAAAAGGGGATGAATCCTGAATTATGGCAATAACTTCAGTGGCTGAAAAGATTTTTGTTTTCTTTGAAGCAGTCGCCATTTTGAAAAGCTTGTCAAATAGCCTAAGTCACATTCTCTTTTGACTTAGGCAAATTAATACTGCCTAAGTCACACTCTTGACATAGGCCATTATACAACAGGGTTGGAACTGCATGATCTCTTCAACTGAGGATTTAGGCGATGTTACCTGAGGTGGCCTGCATCATGAGGAGAAATGAAAAAAATGACTTAGGCCATTATTTGGTGACGACAGAAAGACTGCGACATATGATTGGACGTTCTCATCCAGTGTTAAATGATAACACAAGAATAGAGGCTAAATCATAATGCAGCTCAAGGTAAGTAATGTCATGCATGCTCGATGCTACTATGTCCACAGCAGACCTGGCGTCTTGTCCCATCTCATTCCAGTGCTTGCTAACAGAATTTTATTCTACTGAGATTAAAACACAGTAACAACCACATTTATTAACTCATCTTATGACTTAAGTGGCACTCTAAATCACTGCATCACCTCAAATGGATTATTTTTAACCCATAAGATTCTGATTTTCCTTTTTTTTGCTCTCCTGAACCATGAATTATGATTATGAATTTTAATCATAAAACCATTTCTTTGTTTCCAAGTCATGAACTAAAATACTTTTGCATCACCAATGCTTTTTAAACCGTTCACCTGTTAATCAATTTTTACCGATAAATGAATGATATTTTCTGACAAAACAGTTCTACAGTTCAAACCACACCAGTACTCATAGCACTTGATCTTCTCGTTGTGTGCAAAAACAAACAATGGAGCTACAGCTCACATTTTACACTTACAACTTTATCAAATAAAAAATGAAATGTTTGCCCGTTTAATCAAACAATGAACAATGCATTACGGCAGAAATCGTAGTTTTAGCAGCGGCACCGAGTCAGAGAGAAACGTCCACACTTCGTAAGCATAGCGCATCGGCACACCGTTCTATCCAGCATCGTTAGCCACCTTAGCTCATTAGCGCAGATGAATATTTCACTCACCAAAATGTTTGGAAAGTAAGCACACCAGCTACATCACATCAGTCGCTGGTCACTTTGTCACTCCTGAGTACATTTAAGGATGTACAGTAATTTTTTGCTCGTTACTTTTTGTTAAATTAATCTCTTTTTTCAGTTCGCTGCCTTGCCTGTGTCTGTGTCTTCCGCTCGTTCCGGTCAGCTGCAGTCGCTACCTGAAGGGGTGGGAATTGGCCTCCCTCCACCAATAGGATTTCAGCATTGCGTAATGTCACCCAATATAATGAAATTGAACTTGACAGACATCCAAATCAACCAAATAACTTGTTTTGTGTCACAACTGATCTATGAAATAAAAGACATTTAAAAAAAAGAATACAAATAGAAATAAAATAAATTCATAATAAAAAATATATATAAATCAAAGTATAAGTCTGAAGCTCTGTTTCTACTGGGCTACAAAGGCGTACTGACTTTTACTACATGGAGTTTCTAGTGTAGTGTCTGTAATTATAATATGCTAAATATAAACTGTAATTCTTTTTTCCCTCCACATCTTTACTCAATGAAGGTTCATTTTTTGCTGTAACATAAAGTCCTGCAGCTCTGTGGAGACAGCACAACCATGGCTCGAAGGACAGAGAACTCTGAAATATCTTCTGTGCAGTATGACACAGTTATAATCCCATCAGTCATTTATTTAATCCATTAAAAATGCTTTAACTTCCTCTCAGTCTGCTCCGTGTAAGACGTCTGCAGTTCACTTTAGCCACTGAAACTGTTGATTACATTTCAGTTTAGTCGTGTCTTCTCAGTTGTGTTGAGGTCATTTTTGTTTTTGTAAGATCTGATATGGTTGTTTTTTAATGAGAAGTTAAGTCATTAATAATGTTAACACACTGGTTGCGTTTCCTCATGGAATTCCAAGTCACACGTAATACACTTAAATACTGTTAGAAAGTGGAAAACCTGACAATTCAATCTTATACTTTCTGGCTGATAAATGAGGCTGCACGGTGGCTGGGTTGTTAGCACCATCACTTCACAGCTACAAGATCCCTAGTTAGGACGCCTGGGAAGTTTGTGTGGAGTTTGCATGTTCTCCCTGTGCAGTGTGGGTTCTCTCAAGGTTCTCCAGCTTCCTTCCTCAGTCTACAGACAAGGTGAAGTTAATTGGTGATTCTGAATTGTCTGTAGGTGTGAATGTGGGTGTGCTTGGTTGTCTCTAGCCCTGTGATAGACTGGTTACCTGTCCAGGTGAACCTGCCTTCACCCTGAGTCGGCAGGGGAGCACCTACTGCTGTTGCATACTCTATGTAGTGAAGTGGGGGGCTGCATACCTGTGCTTTAAAGCTGGTGTCCAATAAAAACTCAATTTTTAAAAAATCCAAAATGAACTAAAGGAAGGATTCATATGTGTCTTAATAGAGGCAGAGAAAGTGAAGAAAGAGAAGAATAAGTGAGCCTCTGACCTTACATTGTCTTGTCATGTGATACGGTCATCTAACAAAGCTGCCATCACTGTTAGCTTCAGTGCATACAGCTGAAGTGATTTTTTTTTTTTCCTGTCTCCTTAACATGATGGCCTTGTCAGTCAGGTAATATGCAGTTTTATGAAGCAGTGGCATTTAGGGTTAGTTAGCTGTGATGTCTACATAATCTACAGCCTGTCTAAACATCTCTCTGGTCACTTGGCCTGCCTTGTTGGGCTCGTGAACAGTTCTGTCAACAAGTTTTCCCACATTTGCACATCTTAGCTTTTACACTGGCAGGTAAATGTTGTACGAAATGTTCCTTTTAATACCTTTGAGGGCGTCCAGCATCACAATCAATGGATCACAAATCTTCATGTACCACTCTTTATTGCACAACAATAAGACACAATCAAACACCATTACTGTACACTGTTTAAAGCTGAAATCTGGCCAGTTAAAGCATTTAAGAGTTTACACATAGGTCAGGTTCCTGCTAATGGGACTTTGTTCATTTGCAGTGAGATGCTCGACTCCAGCTGGCCCTCTCTCTGGTGTGTAGCCTAAAGTGGGTGTTGAGGTGTGCTGACTGGTTGAAGCATTTCCCGCACACATGGCAGCGGAACGGTTTCTCTCCAGTGTGGATGCGGTGGTGCCTCTTCAGCATGCTGACAGTGGTGAAGCTCTTCCGGCACACGGCACAGCTGTATGGTTTCTCTTTTGTGTGCCACCGCATGTGAACCTCTAGCTGGCAGGCGAAGCTGAAGCCTTTGCCACACTCTTTACAGCTGTGCCACCTCTGGATGCCCTGGCTTGGATGAGAGGAGCGAGGTGGAGGTGGCTTCAGGGATCTCACATTTTTGATCTGCAGTATGTGTGAACCTTGTTTTCCATTTGAGCGAAGTAGCCCCTTGACCAGCTGATCAGTTTTTGGAGTCCTGTGACTCTTTGTAGAGGAGGCACAAGAATCGCTCTGAGCTGCTCTGCAGTTTGAATGAACAGTCATGGACGATGATAAGCTGTTGGTTGGCTGCTGTTTCCTGCTGTTCTCTCCATCAGTCTCCGTCTTAATTTCCAGGGATGTGAGTGGAGGTGGAGAGACAGTTGGTGCTGGTGGAGGATGTGACCTCTGTGGCTCAACGTGACTGCAATTTCCTTCCTCCGAGTCCACTGCTTCCAGTAAACATTTGGTTTGAATGTTTCTTAGTTTTGGTTCCTCCTTAACTTGAGGCAGCAGCTCCACACTACTTCTCCATTCAGACTCACAGAGCTGGACATCATCTTGGGGCTGGACAGAGTGAGGCTCTGAAAAAATAAGAACATCACAGTCATGCTGGCTAAATTTGATAAAAAATATTCTAGAGATGCCTCAACCTGACTTGTATAAGGTGACTTTGGTATCTTTGTTCAAGAGTGTGGTCTTTCACTTTGTGGGCATTACCTCCAGTCTTTGCCTTCTCTGTCATAAAGCTTCTTTCTGTTCAAGTGCAAATCTGCTCTGTTCCTGCTCTAAACTGTTTGTCTGCACTCAGATATACTTCTGCTGCACAAATCTCTTGTGATTCAGTTTGAGTGCATTTACTCACTCTCATACATCCTAAGTAATCTGTGTGCTCGTGAAACTTCTGCTCTCAGGTTTGTGCTCTCACTCTCTGACTGTTGTAAAATGAACCAGTCAAAAGTCCCTAACGAGACAGAATGCCACCTATGATGTTGACCAATGAGATAGTTGCTGCTTTCTTGCAGATGCACTTGTTTTGCTTCTTTATGTGTGGAGTGTAACCAGCTTCATCGACTCCCACCTTTCATGGCTTATTGTATGTTTTGTGTACCCACTTTTGGAGTTGTACAGAACATTTGGCCAGTAAACAGAGTGCAGATAGAGTCGAGTAAGAGCAGAGCAGTTCGGGGCTTTTTGAGGGAAAGATCAAGGTCTGTAAGCATCACAAAATATGAATGTGAAACATTTAGATACCTGACTCATCAACTATCCAGGATTCCTTCTGTGTCAAAACAGTTTTCTACTGTCTAAATATTAGAAAAGTATTCTGACACAGAAGGAATCATGGCTGGTAGACAAGCTTGATATCAGAATGTAGGTAAAATGATCCTTTCATCGTCTAGAACCTGTTCTGACCAACCACCATCACACATGCTGATATGACTCATGAAAGTTTACCCAGAAGCACTTTTCTAAAAGTTTTCTCTGCTGATTCTACGTCATAGACATTAAACTGCTGCAGTTTTGCTGTTGAAAACGATGGTATAACCCATGATATTACATTGATGCTTGAAGCTGGATAGGAAAAATCGTGCTGAACAAAACCAGGGTTTAGCTGTGACACCAGGACTGGATGGAAAATGATTTGGTTTCAGTTATAAACAAAGAAATGTGTGTTTTTCAGCACTGAAAATTTCATATGGTTATCTCCTATACCTATAATAGTACGAGGGCTCAAGACTGCTGGAAAAAATAGAATTTCAACCAACCCTTATGTACTTCAGGGGCCTGTAACTCAATAAACATTCATAGTATGACAGTTTAATCTTGCATGGCTTCATTAAATGTACTAAAGCTATCGTACATGGAAAATCAGCTGATTCTGAGCGGGTCAGGTGGGAGGCACTGATTGATTTTCTTGGAATGTTAGACTGAGGGACATCTTAAACGCCACCTCTCCCATGTTTATTCACAGAACCTCCACCTCACCCCATTACAAGTGCAAATGATCCGGTACTGCACTACACCTTCACCTTGTTTTCTCCCTTGTGTTACTCGACGAACAGAACATTTTTCTTACGGGTCATTCTGCCTCAATTTACCGAATGGCACACACCTAACCATCTTCGATTTCACAGATTGTTTTTTTTAAAGTGGTGAATATTAATTGAGTTGATCCTGTGTCAAATCTGGGGGTCACTGGTAACACTAGTTTTTGAGATAAAAATTCTTAGAGGGGTGGGGTCATGTCGATTTAGGCATTGTTTTCTTTGCACCAATCTATGGAGCAATGTTGGGATTACGTTCATCCTTTTAATAATGACCCTTACAGATTCCTGGGGTCACAAAGCGGGGCTAGTTCATGTTTAAATGAGGGAAAACGTTGAACTAGACTTTGACACAGCAGCAAGAGTCGCTAAAACACACACTTCTCTCCAGCCTGTGATACACCTGCAGGACCAGACGACAGAAGAAGTCGTATGAATATTTCCAAACCAAGACAGCGGTGCACATTCACTCACACAACGTAACACGAGTGATACCACAGCGACAACTTCAGAAAAATACTTAGAATTACAGATGATCCCCAACGGGATTTCACTGAACATTTTAATTGTTAGCGTTTGACACTGTATGGTATATTTTTCAGTTTAGTACACTTTTATTCACATTATATTTCACAGTTTATTGTGCATTTGAAATCTTTCTAGATTTTTCTGTTATATTTCTATTTCAATTACAGTTTTTGTTTTTCTACTGTGGCGGGGGTCACTTTCCTCTTTCTGTGGATACTGTAATTACAGCATTTCCCCATGACGGAAAAATAAAGTATTTCTCTTTTGTTCTAAATAACACTGTTTTCTGGGGGGGACCTGGTGAGCTGTCACAGTTCATCAGCTGCAGCTAAACCATGGCTTCCAGCTGAATCTATTTTCCAGTGTCCTAGGGGAAGACTTCTCTGTGTCTGAGCAAGATAAATGCAACAGTGACATTAATGTGCATATGGATGTATTACAGAATGACCTCTCTGATAAAGTAACTACCAAAATGTGTCGCCAAGCACCGATGGGAACATGTTTTATAAATGATCATCACACTTGGACAGAATTTGAAGTGTTGACATCATCCATCAGCTGAGGCGGTCTTGTCTATGGGTGAACACACAGAAGCGTCTCTTGTCCTGGGCTGTTTCCAGCAGTATTCAGCCAAACGACCACAACATGCCCTCTACATCTACATGTATCAGTCTGAGCACATCACATGTTTAGGAGCTCTGAGTGTGAAACAGAAACCCAAGGAGGTCAGTGTGGCATTTCTCACCTCCTACATTGACACAGTTTTCAACTAGCTACAACAGCAAAGCACGAGTCCTCAAATGCAGCCATGTCTTGTGTCTCTGGTGCGCCTGTTGAGCCTCTGAACCCGGCGTGTGTCTCCGCTCACCTGGCTGCAGCAGGAGCCGCTGGACGGCCACGTTGAGGAGCCGTTTGAGGCGCTCGTTCTCCTGCTGGGAGCGCAGCAGCTCGCCCTGCTGCTCCAGCACCGCGTCCTTCACGGCGCGGAAGATCTCCTCGGCGGCCGCCGTCAGCCTGTCGTTCAGAAACACGTTTAGCAGCTCCAGCTTGGTCATGTTTTCTCCCGCTGTCTCCGGAGGCGGAACGTCCTTCTGTTTACATCCAGCGGACCGGACGGACGAGCAGACCGGCTCCTGCGTGCTGTCTGTGCGTCGCCGGACTGCGGCGGCAGCGCCCCCTGCTGGGCGGGAGGCCGACGAGCAGCGTTTGGTGACTTGAAGTGAGAAAAGTAAGTAGAGTCAGTGCAGTAAAGGCACTTGAACCTGTCTGAAAATGTCATCACAGTTTTGTTTTTTATTTCATAACTAACTGCTGCCTGCAGGGCGGTCCCGTCCACTGCAGTGGGACACTTCTCTCTGCACACTAAACATTAGTTCTCACATCCAACTCCAACAGTGGTTCTCTTGCTGGCAGGTACATCTCCATGGTAACTGATGCTGAACTCCGAACCTGCTCCGGAGCAGGTTATGTTCCAGATGAGAGATCAGCACATATTAAAGCTCTTCCAACTGACCAATCAGTTCTATTGGAAAAATGTCATGAGCATCAGAAGATCCAGCAGAGCTCAGTGCACAGATAGTGACAGGGGAACATATGACTTCTCACAGATGTTAGGAATTTCAGATAGAACCCTAAAACAGAAACTGATTAAAACACTAAAGCCTGTTAACCTGATTGTTGACCTTCTAAGATTGGCAAAAAGCCTATTTATAAATTTGAATAAATCATTTTACATTTGTGCAGCTGAAAGAGTAAGACGAGAAGTGTCTTACAGCCAAAGGAATGAAACTTAATGTGAAGTTACCGAATTCATCATCCACATCACCACGAAAAAGTTAGATTTTTATGACTGGATTTTTTATTCATTAAATAATTTGTCTTTTTGTGAGCAGCGTAGAAGGACAGCATCTATAATTTTGCTATACAATCTTGTAATGCATGATGTTAATTAAACTGAATCTTACATAACAAACGTACGAGTGCACCTTCTCCACAAAGGGACAGTGATGTTAAGTATTAAATACACATTCAGTCTGCATTATTTTGCGTTTCTTTGTACTTTGGTTTCTGCATTTGTGCTGTTTTTATCATATATTACACTATGAATTATTCCCATTAGTTTGTTCTTCTTGTAAGAAATATATGAAGTTGTAAACACTCATATACAAAATGAGTCAGCCTACTTGTGAATTACTTTATGTTTTTATGTTCATATATTACTTGCTTATCCCAATTGCAATTGCTAGGTTAACTGTAGCTAGATACTGAAAAGATACCCTGGGCATGCTGAACTCACTTCGTAGTACAGCCCATTTAAAAATGTCAATTATTGATCCAGCTGGTCATTAAAAGCATCTTTATTTACACAGTAATTTGTACAAGTCACTTTGAACAGTAAGCTCAAGGAAAAGAGTCCGGACAGAGCAAAAACACAAGACCAGAAATCAACAGACCACACTGATAAACCAACACAAAAGAGAAAGACATCAACTGAAGACAGCACTGTTGAAAAGAAACATTGTCTATCAATCTTACAAAGAACATACAAACATCAGAAACAGTCCCTGAGGTGATCAATAACAAAGACTAGAGTACTTAGACTTTAAACCCAGACTAGTTGCTTCAAAATATAGCCACTGATTAAAAAGAACCAGTTAAAAAAAATACACAATTTTTTAACTGAAGGACAGCCTCAGGTAGAAGAGGCCCTTTATAACAACTGAATGGAAAATCAGTGAAGCGCATGTGTCTGATTGATTAAACGAACTTAAAAGTAACTTGACTGAAAATTCCTCTCAGGTTGTGACTTCCTTGCTTTGTTGACAGGGTCCTTGTTTAAGTAAAATTGTCATAGTCTTGGAACGAGCTGGGCAGTAACAGTCTCGTCCACTCACAGAAAAAAATTAAAACCGTGAATAGAAAGGTATCAGGCTACTGCAAGTGCAACAGTATTTATTCCTATAATCATCTTTCTCTTCCCTTTGCATACACAGTATACAGATATGCCTTCTCTCTAAAGTGTTGCATTCCCACATTTAAGTCATCCAGAGATTCCTGACAAATTGAGGGCATTCTTAACAATGTCTTCCAACATCAGAGCTTCTGCCAATTTTTTAAGGGCCTGAAAGTTGGACATTGACCTTAACCAGACATGAGAAGGAAAGCCCTGCAGAATAACTCCTCGGCCATCAGATGATCACATGGGCAGGAAATTAACTGTACTTTGAGAGAAGATGTTTAAAATGTAAAGAGTAAAACATGAAACTAAAGCTTAAAATAAGAAAAAAAAATGTCTTTTAAATGCTCTATTGTCAATATCTGGTGTACATGTAGAGTCACAAGACAAGGTTGTGGGTGAGATGCAGGGGCAGGCAGTTGACTGTGCTTGATGTAGCCCTCAACTGTCAATCATTTCTGACAGTTCCTGCAGCAGGTCGTCTTCTCCGATGCCAGGGTCCACGTCATCCTCCAGGTGGTCATCGGTGAACTCGTTCATCAGCTCCTCAAAGTCGTCCATGGCGGAGGTGGAGGCAGCAGTGCTGGAAGAGGCAGCGCGGGACGCTGCTACACTGGGTCTACGTGATTTGGACTGGGTGGGCGTCTTCAAGACCGGGCTGAAATGAAGAGAGAAGCTGCATTCACGTCTTGCTGAAACTACAATTACTAACTTGTTATTGTATGCCTCTGCCAATCAGTTAAGTGTACATCCATGTCCAGCTTGTATAATATAGGTAGCTACGACTTTTAAGGAATTTATTATGTGAACACTGGGGCTGAACGATTTGACACGACAGTTCAAACACTGGGTCAGACTTGCTACATAACATGTGTCCTAAACTGCAGCTTTTGTAATTTGCTAATTGCATTGTTTTTAAATTGTAATTTTGATCTGAAATTGATCAACTGTTTACCCCCAAGATCCAAGATGGCATCAGCATGGTGTTTAAGAGAGATTGCATTTACAAGGATGGGAGAGACATTGAAGGGGCTGACAAGACGAAAACACAATGATGGCACAGAGAAATAAAAGCATCGGAATAATTTCCGTCAGTTCTGACTGGGATAGTTCCATTTTTTCTACAAACAAAACTTTTTGCCAACAGTATCATTTGGAAGACGTGATAACATTGGTTTTATATCTTGCTGAAGAAACTAACAGAAGCTTGTTAGTAGTTGAGGTTTTCAATAATATATTTTCACTGACAGTGTGAAAAGTAACATTATGCACAGATGGGGGTAAGTGGTTGTGTGGATAAGCTGGCAAAAGTTCTTGTTTGCTCTTGAAGTGCTGCAGTGACATTAAACATGGGTGTTGTATTGCAGTGACACTCATCTTGTGACCACAGGGCCAAATAAGACCCACAGGTCATAAGATGACAGGGTGCCAGAAGATCGTTTTCATATTCACAATGAAATCAAACTGATTTACACCAGTAAATGTTTTGTTTGTTTATGTAGTAAATGTTCAGTAATGTCTGACCTGTTCCTCAGTTCATTAAAAAATGAATAACTTCAAAGAGCTTCTTAATTTTATAAGATTAATATACATTCTTATGAACTGGCCTCTGGCCTCCTGTCATTTTGCAGAGGTGGCCCCTCGGCAAAGCAAGCAGTATTCCTATATTACAGGGGGGTTCTGTTAATGATCCAGTGTGTTGAATTTAGTGGCATCAAGCAGTGAAGTTGCAGACTGCAACCAACCCAATATCCTCCACCTCACCCTTCGCTTCAAAGTAATAAATAATATTATTTATCAGGCTTAGCTAAGCATCAATCTGGAGAGTTCTTAACAGCTCTGACTAAATCAACCACACTGAAAAATAGATCTTGAGGTTAGCTTAAAAAAAACAAAAAAACTAGCTAACTGTAGAGGGGGAAATTGTAGCTTGTTGACCAAGTTCAACAAGTTAGGTAATATTACCTTGAGTAACTCAAGGGGATGAATAAAATATCTATCTATCTATCTATCTATCTATCTATCTATCTATCTATCTGTCATGTTATTAAAGCTGTGTTTGTACCTTTGGGGGACTGCACAGGCCTCTCTGGCAGCAGCAAGATTGACGGCCGGCTTGGTTTCTTGGCCTGGGCTCTGTCTGAAGACAGGGACAGACTGAAGCTCCTCTCTCGGTGAGCTGGAGCTGGAGCCAGCATCTGGCAAGGATGTAGGACTGCGTGGCACAGAAGAGCTCAGTTGAGCCTCTGCACTGAAGGATGGCAACACCTGAAAATGCAGCACAAGTCACCAGAGGTCATTAACAGGACAAGATTGCTTCCATTTCCCATCATACATCTGCATTTTTTTGAGATGATAACTCAATCAGAGCAGAGACTAGATGTCTGACAAAGACATTAGACAAACAGTATAATTGAGTGTATTAAACAATGTAACCTGAAATACTGGTGGTGTCACAGACACGCAATGTAGAAATGCACAAATTAAATGTGACAGACACAAAACACTACAGTGGAAAGTGGAGTAACATATACAGCACAAACATTTGAGAAATAAAAAGAAAGAAAAATACACTAGCACATATATAGACATATCTAAGTAAATATGAAACATCCAATGAATTGAATATATTATGTCCAAGTTACCTGTCTTTCTCTGCAAGCCGTCTCTTGCAGTGGCTCCTCGGGCACTGTGGAGGTGCTGTTCAAAGGTTTAACAGCAGCTACAGCGGAACGCTCTGCTCCCCTCCTCTTCTGGCCTGGCTTCACCTGCACTGCAGGTTTCATTACAGACGGTTTCACATTCAGCTTGGGCCTCACTGAAACAATAGCAAAGTTTAAATGTCAGTGTTTCATCGTACTTTTTTTTTTATCATTTCTGTGCAAATGATTTGCTACCCACATGTACTTTTTCTAAAACTTTTAAGAAATAGCATGTCTGCCAAAAACCGATGAGGCCACTTAAAGTGCATGTAAATGGTGATTGTGCTGAAGGAAACAGGTGGAGGTCTCTGTGGCCTTTTAAAGTCTAAGGTGGGCGGACTGTGCGTTTAAAAGGAAACATGGGCTGCAAAATGAAATAAGTATGACAGCATTAGGTATGGTACCTTTAGTGTCTACAGAGTGTTCTGGGGATTTCTTCGGACTATTGTTCAGTGCTTTATCGGTAGGGGGGGCTTCTGCAGCAGGACCCTGCGGAGTTCCTCTAGCCTGTTTGGCTAGTGACGGTGTGGGGGAGATCCTTGTGTTTTTATCTGGGACTTCCTTGGAGCTCCTCTGGGACTCAGTCTCACCCTGCTGTGGCAGCCTCACTGGGATTGAGGACACTGCTGTATCAGGAGTAGTTGTACTGTTCAGAGGTGAAGCAGCCTTGGGTTTGAGAGGAATCCGTTTACGAACAGGGACTTTTTGGGTGGAAAGGGTAGAGTCAGGGACTGAAGTTGGGAGGGAAGGTAAGGAAGGGCCTGGTGATGTGAGACTGATTTTAACAGGAACCTTCCTCTTCCTGGTATCATTAGAACTTTGGTTCTGAGAAGGCTCTGCTTCAGCTGAGCTTTTGGCCTGCTCCTCAATTTCTTGCTTCCGAAGGCGTTTTTCCCGCATGATCTCCTCAAAGGTCTTGACCTTGACGTCATTGCTGGTCTAGAGAGACACAGAAAAATTACTATCACCTAGAGGTAGAAGAATAACAAACAGCCACAGCCATTACTGCAGTATTTTACAGAGCATACCTCAGGCACAGCAGCTGGAGTTTTCACTGGCTTCTCTGTCACTGTAGCACTTTTCTCATGTGTGCCTTTGTAAACAGAAAATTCATGTTAGTGATTCAAAAACATGATGAGAAAAAAAAAATGCAATTCAAATAAAACATTTTTACAAAAGTATACATAACATTTCTGCTTGTAGTTCTTGTGCTAAGACACGGGGAACCAAACTATGAAAAATGTAGGTGCTGTCTTACTTTGAGGAGCCAGTTTCTTGATGCACAGTAGACGGGGCTTCTTGGCATCACTCTCCTCAGAATCAGAGTTCTGCTTGTTGTCAGCCGCCGTGGCCTGCTGAGCCTGGATTCTTGCTGCCTTCTCCCTCCGTATCTCTTCCAGTGTCTTTACTCTAACCTCCTGTGCATTCGTGGCTTGACCATCCGTTTCTGACTCTCTCTGGCTCTCTACTGGAACTTTCTCCACCGTGAGCTTGGCCTTCGTAAGGTGGGGGTTCGGCTCCTGTTCCTTCTCTTGCCTTCTTCTCTTGGCCTGAAGGACCTCAGAAAACGTTTTGACCTGGTTGATGGAGGTGTCTGTTACAGTGATAGCTCGTTTCATGCCCTTGGCGGCTTTGGTGTTAGTGTTGGTTTTGGTTACGGCAACCTCCGAAGGCATGACTGAAGGGGCATCTGTCTGGCTTTGAGACTGAGACTTAGCTGCTTTCTCCTGTCTTATCTCCTCCAGAGTTTTGATGCGGATCTGCTCAGGCACCAAACTTGTCTCAGCTGTAACACAACAACAAATAATGCCTTCATCTATGTGCATGATATCATTCTGGTAACAATCTCGAGGTAACTGCATATTCTCAGACTTCTTACCCAACTGAGTGGCTGCAACAGGTTCTGAAAGCAATCCAAGTCTCTCCTTTACAGGTTTTAAAACTGCATTAACAGAAGAAAGAAAAATACAGATTTTGGAAATAAATACTATCAAAACACAACTTGCTTCTATACACATTTCATAGTGACTGATGTGCTCCTACTGCCTGAAAACACAGCATCTCTTATCAGCATGAATCTGAAGCTGCAGTTCTCATCCAGTGAATAGCTATGAGCAAATTCTGAATATTCACAATACTCACATTTCTGACTGGGCACTGATGTTTGCTCTGCATCCACAACTCTGCCCAGACGCTCAGCAAGACTCCTTTTCAATGGAAGACCCTCTCGACCTTTTACATCTACAGGAAGGACACATTATGACCTTCAAACCTCCACATTATTATTATTATTACCAGTGGCATTTGGCATCTGCACCAAGACAACAAATGTACCTGTGTTGGGAATCTTCTTTCCAAGCCTTTCAGCCACACTGGCTCTTGATCTCACAGTTTCTTCGAAGACAAGTGGTTCTAGGTTAAAAGACAGAAACTGAAGTGGTTTAGAAAAAATAATCTTGATTTAACTTCTTTTAACTGCTAAAAGCAATCTTTACATTGTTATGTATACATTAGATTTTTTTTTAACAGTTTAAAATCAATATTTCTTGTTAGTTTTCAAGCAGGGATTGTTGTCATCAGACAAATGACAGGTTAAAATTAAAATGCTGCTTCAAAAACCATGAGAAGTACATATCCACACAATATGCCTAAAACAAGATTATTGGGTCTACCTGGCAATATTCATATTCCAGTTGTGGTGCTGTCCAAACAATACAGTTCTACTGTGTTAAATAGTAGCCCCAGCAGTCTAGCTTACTATTAAACAAACACAAAGATTGTCTGAATGCATTTTTCTCTGTCTGTTCTTTGGAATGGTTATACATGCAATGTTTATGCTATCAGACACCTATGTCACTGTACTCAAAGCTAAATTACAAAATAAGAAAATACGTAAGTAAGTAAGTAAGTAAACCTGTTTTTTTACCATCTCTGGACTCCAAGAGGGCTGGTTGAAAAAATGACCGGATGTTTTCTTTCTCTCCGTTGGCAGAGGTCTCACCACTCTGGACGGCGTAGCCAGCTCTCTTCATGCTGGCCTTCAGGGCCTTCCTAAGCAGGATCTCCTCCAAGGTGCTCACTCCAAAGTTTAGTGAATCCCCTGTAAAGAAACAACATTGTCTCATATAAAACAAAGGTTGCACAGGATTTGGCAGAATTACAGCATCAGTCACAAACTACAACAAATTGTAATTCCAAAGATTTGTGTCTCTGCGCAGTCTCACCTGATTTAGGTAACTTTCTAGAAGACGGGGCAATCTTGCCATCCTCTCCCTCCTCTGAGAACTGGTCTGGAAACATAATGACATGAGTGGTAATGATCAAAGTAAACATCCTTTCTCAATATGACAATAAGACAAAGAAGGAATTTTGAAATCACATCCAGCTCACCATCTTCATCCTCATCGTCATCTGCTGGATTGATTACCACTGGTGGATGGGTGGGGCTTGGTACTGGCTCCTGACTTTCTGTCTTAATGACGCCTCTAAGTTGAGGATTGGCTGTGGTGTGGAGAGGAGCAGCTGGTGGGGGGGCTGGTTCCTCGTGCTGCTGTTCTTCATCCTTGCTCAGACCTAGGAGAGTTAGTCATTGTCATTACTGTCTCTCTCAGGTGGATGTCAAATCTTCCTAAATTCTCCACAGTTCAATTGTAAGTGTGTTTGTTTAAGCAAAGCTCACTCACTTTTATCAGGTGGGACAAAGACGCCTTCTATGTACCGGGGCTTTTCATGGAAGAAGGCACAGTGTGACTTCTGGCAGCCAGCCGGCTGGTTCTCCCAATAACACGGGATCTCCTTTCGGTTTTTCTGTTTTGATGAATGAGATTATTAACATGTAGCAGCATGCACGCAAAAGATAGGCTCATCATTCAAATGCATCTGTGTGCATAAAATTTTTCACAATACACCAAAGGAACGTATAGTTATTGTTTTTTCAGGTCTACTGTTCTCACTCTACTTTTGCATAATAACCATGTAATCGTTTCTCCTAGCTACATACTGTATTGTGATTTTATAAACAGGAAAGACTGAAGTTTGTGACATAGAACACACGACTGTAACAGTGGTGCTATTATCTCTGATGTTATGGAGAAAGTTAACATTTCTTAATCAGCGTGATTTTCAATGCAAACAATTAGAGAGATCTACTGCGTAACACTACTGGGTTGCATTCATGATGCAATAAGTGTTCCTCCAGCCAGATCCAGAGGCAGGAGTGGACTTCCTGACCAAGGCTGACAGGGAGAATCTTTCTACCCTTCATTCATGGCCATTCAGGACACTAACAGCCTTGAGTGGGCAAAGCTTGAAGGAGATATTCCAGAGTTGTCTTTAGTTTAAAAATAATGTCTAAATTTTTCTTACTGTAATCTCCATGTGGCGAAACTTGCAGACAGTACGGAAGCAGCGTCCTTCCTGCCAGAGGCTGCAGACGGTCTCATTGCCCATAGCAGCTTCACAGTGTCTGAAGGGGCAACTGTCTCCCTGCACGATAAATGAAATGAAGCTCAGACTCTTTGCTCTAGTCACTTTCCAATGGTTATACTATGTGTGTATATGAGAAGCTTGTAGTCAAACTTTGCATACTTTAGTGCAGGTGGAATAGTAAAAGAAGTAGCAGTCATTTCCATGGTTGGTCATAGTATTGCTGGTATACGTCTTAAATGGCGGTAGATACGGGGTGACGACCTTTAAACCCAGCAGCTGGTGCTCTTGAGGGCCAACAGGACTCTCCCTGAAAACACAGAGCACAGAAACGATTTAGCCACGAAAACCCTTTTTCATCACTTCAATTCACTATGAATTTTTCAAACAAGTCTGCTCATGTAAAGGTAACACCAGGAAGGCTCTGTGTCCTTTCGTCATATTATGTATCCAGAGGAAGGCATGACTTGCTACAGCTTGTCCATTGAAGATTCTTAATGACATTACCTCCATAATCAAATAATTTAAATGAATTTACGGATAGGGACCTACAAGATTTTCAAGTTTGACTTATCTGAAGAAACTGACAGATTTTTGCACTTTGAAAGCAATCATCAATGCAAAAGTCTCAGGTAAAAACACTGCTTACCTGTTATCAAAAACTACAGCTAGGAATAGAAGAAGGGATATGCTGTTATTTAGTCAGCAGTATTCTTGAGATGAGCAATACGTTGCACAAATTTGAACCGCAGGCAACCAGTGTGCTGTGGACAAATGTTTTCTTTCTTAGTGGCCTAAGGTCTGTTTGTATGAATACACACAGCCCCAGATCGGGAAACATGTAAATGCAAGTTTTCACAAATATTCTTTGCCTTTTTGATGAGACTGAATGTACATGTGAAGAAGCAATGATACGGGTGAAAGTAATAGATGTTGTTATTATTTAGACAACACAGGTGAGTATTTTCTCAGTCATGGTCCTTGTTTGTAAAGTCCCTGCATGCAAGGAACTAAAAAACTTACACTAAAGATTGTCTTACCTAAAAGCAAGAAAAAATTATTTAAGAAATGTGTCAAAGCCAAAATATACTAGGCATGAGAGGTATACAAATAAATAAATGTGAAGTGTGTGATTTGTTGTCAGGTCAAAATTTCCATCAAGGTGGCCAGTCAGCCTTCAATGGCATTTGATTTTCTTTAGTGCTGTTCCTCCTTTACCTGAGGTGGCTGAGAAGTTGTCTCCCTCCTGAGTGCACTGCTGGTTGGGTGTCTCCGCGGTGGTATGGAGTCCTGAAGGAACACTTGATCCGTGAGATAAGAAGAAAAGTGGGGTGGCTCGCCCAGAGACACTTGTCTTCCTACGACATCCCTTTTCTGAGACTCTCTGAGACATCTTTATCTCCGCCAGACTGCTAAACATTACTGATGGTGGTTGGAATAGAGTCCTTCTGGGATTTTTTTTAATACTATTAATTGGTGTGACTAATGAAATAAATAAATAGGGGGACATAAACAGCCAGACAAGAAAAAAAAAATTGAAAAAAATGCTAAAATTGACGTGGCAAAACGTGAAGAGGGGTGGGATGGTGGGTCGAAAAAAATCCTCCGCTTCTTCTTGGGCATGGCAGCATTTTGCATACTTCATGACACTGAGTGTTGGCAGTGGGAAAAATAGGCAGGATATTCAAGCTTCTAGGAATTTTCAGCTGTTGACTACCAATGCTGAAGAGAAAAAAAATCTTCTGCCAATGTAGGAAATTGGGGAAAGCTATCCATATCCAGGGATCCCCAAAGAGTGCCAAGAGGATGGTTTTAAACCTACAAATCAATCAAAAACACTCCCCGGGGAACTGAAAAGGGGTTATTAAGAAACAGACAGACAGCACAAATACAGCGAAGACATTTCTACAAAATGTACATCAACATGAGACAAACATGCTCTCCATAGTAACTGCTATTTGGTTATAGCATGGTTTCCAGATGAGTGAACTGACTCACTGTCGTTACACTGATTATAATCAACCCATGTTTATACATCTCAAGTATTAAATACAAAACAAACAACAGATTTTGAGGGCCCAAAACAGGGCTGTGTCTTTAGTCTAGACACGAAGGCCTGAACAACAGTTCGGTCGTCCATCTGAACAAACTGTAAAAATGTACAAAAGAGTATGTACACTGAAATAACTTTATAAAAATAACGATTCATAAAGTCACCAGTTCTAGCAAATACTTCTCCAGTGGCTACAACAACAGTTGTCCTGGAGTATAAGCACGACATCATTATACTGTATGTATGGTCAAAGTTGAAGAACCAAGACAGTCAAGAAAACAGTCGCATACTTACTGTTGGATAACAAAAAGTTGCCCAAAGCTAGTTGGAACGAACTACGAGCGGTTCCCAGCAGTGATGGAAAAATACTGCCGTACATAAATTATTAGAATGAGTCTATGTGGACTAACAGCTAGCCTGGCTAACTCGACTATATTTTAAAAACAAATACCACATATATAACGTTCTTAACGCTTGACATATTATGCTAACACAGCTAAAGGCTGTTGTAGCACACGTTACATTACAGAGGCCTACCTAGCGCTTCAGCTTCTCACGACCTTATCGTTAATGTGAAACAGTTGTCTATTTAGTAATTACCGTGGTATTGACGTTCATATTATGAAAGCCAAAGATATTGTGTAAAAAGTGTAGACAGTGTTAATTACCAGTTTCTGTTTTAAAAAGATGTTTAAAAATGTGAAATATAGGAAAGTCACTGTCCCGGTTCGATGAAAGCCCCAGCCGCACTTAGACTAAAGCAAAATGGCGACAGCGAGAGTCTGAGGGCGGGCCACTGGTGTGCTGCGTTCAGGGCAAAAGCAAAGCTCGTAGATTCCTCCACTCCCATGAGCGGTCGGCGGTGCGCTGCTCGCGTCCAACTTCATTACCTCTACTCTACATCATAGTGACTAATGTTGTACTTTTCAGGTCAGGTCAACCAACTACAAAATGATACCAACAAATAATTCTGTTGCTGTGTAAGCTGTGTAATTTATAAGTTTATATACACGAAAAATGCACGTTTTAAAGAATACTTCTTTCACCACTGGTTTTTCTGTGTTGTGTGTTCATTTGTTCAGATAAATACAGTTATTCTGAACTAATCTAGCAGCAGGCCATTGCCTTGAATATTAAGCAAAATCTAGCTTTTCATTGTTTTTGGACCTAATCACAGCCCCGAATGTGTCTGGAGAGCCACAAAATAACAGAAAAAGCCATCCCTTCCTTACTTTTTTTTCACCACAGATCAGAACAGGACTGTGTTCTGAATCACATACTTTTCCTTTTTACTTTAGGTGCATATCACAGATGCCCTGAAAAAGTTTGTTCTGTTTCATGCAGTATGCATACAACTAGGACATACTACTACGTTACAATAGTGCCCCTTAAACTTTGACCGTCACCGTCTGTAATGCGAAATGAACTGTCATCTTGAATTGAATTTCCCTTCTGGGATAAATAAAGTATTTTTCATTTCATTTCATTTCATCTGTGAGCATACTCTTGACGACTCATGACTCTTTATACTTGCTCAGACACTGTGACATATCTGATGGCCAGAGACAGGTGCTGCCTTGCATACTGCAAAATCCACCAAGATGTATTAAGACATTCTGATGTTTTTGGCATTTTTGGCTACATTTGGCATACTCTGCATTGGGACATGCTATATCTTTTTGTGGTATATTATATAGTATGGTAGTATGGATATGGGAATGCTCTCAGGGAGTCATTCTGGTTTACAGCCTGTTGTGATGTCACAACAGGGTAGGCATCGCCGCTTGCTGGCTCATCCTCTTCCTTTGGGCTGCTCTCTGCCACCCACAGAGATTAGAGTGACACTCCAAATCACATACTTTTTCTTTTACTTTACACTGTACTGCATACAGTATAGTATTATGGATATTGGAACAAACCTTAGATACTTTTGCTACTTCCTGGTTGACATTTTTGGAGTCAGAGACAAAAAAAAGATTGAAAGAGGGCCGAGCCGGAGAGCAGTGATTGGTCAGACTGACTGAGGGCCGAGGACTCTCTGTATGCCCACATTTACCTGCTGCTGCTGCTGTGATTACTGGCTGCTGCTAGCAATGTTAACCTCCAAAAGTGGAGCTAAACTCTACAGGTCAGTGTTGAAGTCATCTTAGTAACTTGTTGTTTTCATATTCAAATCTGGACAATAGTACATATAAAGTAGTGACCTGTGTTACTGTAGCTGAAGTTACTGTAAGTTAACATCAGACTGTGGAGCCTCTGATGGTAAAACATGGTCTGATGTTGTGTTTTAAACTTCTGTAAATCTCATGTTACGTTTCCTGACTTATTGTTAACACTGATGTCAAATGAGGTTTGTCAGCTTCACAAATTAGTTAACTGTTAACTGAAGCTAACGTTCCGCCACAGAACACTGTTACTGATTAATGTTAATCTCCCAGTTCAGTGAAGCTCAGCTCAGTTTGTGAGTTCATGTCTTTGTTCTGTGGTTCAGTATCAGACTGTTGACTGTTTTTTTTTTCAGCTCATTTCATTGAGAAAAGCATCTGTTGAAATGATTAGTTCCCTTTCAGAAACAGTGAAGTTACTGAGGTCTACCCACTGATATGAGCATCACACTGAACCACAGAGGTGAGTCATAGTTACCTTCTGCTATTTAATGTACAACAGTCCAGCAGAGCAATGTATTGTCAGATAACCATGTGAAGGTCATGTAATCAGAGTGCTGTTTCTTTTCCTTTTTAACTCTCAGTATGATACATTAGAATAAAAAGAAAAAACTTTATTGTCCATCTAAGGCAATAAAATTTTCTTTGGCCTCATCCAGGAAAACAAACATTTCCATAAGATTAAAAAATTTCAAAAACATCCCACTTTCTATTGTGCTATAGTCATACCCTGCTGTGTTTACTGTCATTTAATGGTCCAGCAGTTGGAATTAAAGAGCCTTGTAGATCTTTTTCTTACTGTTTGTGTCTTTTCCTTCCAGCCATGATGTGGATCATTGGGAACATCTTGTCTGATGTGGGCTGAGAGCTACAGAGAACATGAACATTCAGCTGAGGTTGTCTGAGGTGAAGAGTCTTCTCTCCTTCTTCATCCCTGTGAGGAAGAGCAGCACTGATGTCCTCCTCATCAATTTCAGTAATAGCAGGAATGTTGCTCTGCAGTTTCAGCTCCCTGTCTTCATAAAGTACTTGTCTTATGACTGTTAAATATTTACACTACACTGTAAGCTGGGCAACACATTTATTTCATCCATCGATTACATACTTTGACATATCTTTCCAGTTCAGAATTGTTAAATAATGTAGTTTTTAAATGTACAATAAATGTATTGATGAAGCTCTTGTCCTGAATGTGTTGATGTTTCAATGCTGTATATCTGCTACAAATGATGGCAACGTGTAATCTGTATTGTAAGTATGCAACAACAGCAGAGATGCAGTTAAAGGCGATAAATGGAACCTGTGAACACTAAGAACAGAGAATAACAAACTGCTGAAACAGCTGCTCTGTCCTTCTGTAAGTGAAAGCTGAACTGGAAGTGGTTCACTGAGGATGACGTCCATTCAGTCTCCTTCACAACCAGATGAACGGCTCCAGATGAGGTTTTTTCTTCTGTTGGCTTCACTTAGAAGATCCTCGCAGTGAATACGAGACACACCTGAGATGAAGAGAGACATCACAGTGTCAGCATCAACAACAGAGGTTCATCTAAATCGACCCTGAAAACATTTTCCTATTTCATGTATAGTCTCAAGCACTTAAAGAAAGAAAGGCCCGAAGTTGCTTTACATTTAGGGGAGAAGACTTTGTTCTTCAGCTTATCTGTTCTGCAGTTTAAATGTTATATTTTAACTGGAGTGTCAGTCACTACTTTGGTCATATTCTTGGTGTTAATTCTACAATCTACACTGCTGTAAGGAGTACGACAACATGTGCGTCGGTCATTAAACAACCGACTGTTCAACAGCACGTTAACCATTAGACCATAGATGAACTGTTTTTTAGGGGGGCTTTTTTTATTAGATAGGAGAGAGAGACAGGAAAGAGGGGGAAGACGAATGGGGGAAGAACCTGCAGCAAGGGCCGTGAGTGGGACTTGAATCCATGATTGCTACGGGGACTGTAGCCCCTATACATGGGACGCCAGCTCAACCAGGTGAGCCACAGGAGCTCCCCTAGATGAACTGTTTGATCCGCTTTTACTTCAGAGACACAGCAGATATACTGACAACGTAGAACCATAACCTTACTGTTTTAATTACATTTAAGTTTCCTAAATGTTACAGTAATGTGAACGCCCCCTCACATCATGAAAACTTTGATGCTTGATATAAAATTGAATATTAAATTATTTTCAGATTGACCACCTGATCTCTTGGTTTGACCAGGGACGCTAACAAAAAAAAATAATAATCCTGAGCAGTAGAAAAGCTGTATTCTGTGATCTGTGTTTTCCTGTTTAGAACTAAGGTCTATGGAGCCAGAGCTTTTGGAGTCAGAACCTGTCAGCTGTAGTGGTACTGCAGGTTTTTGACACTTCTGGGTTCACTTTTCAGGGTCAGTTGCTACGTCCATCTTTCTTAGACTATGATCTAGAACACAACCTGCTCTGGAGCAGGTTAGGAGTTCAGCAGTACCAGATTTACCTGGTAAGACGTGAACCACTGTCATAGTACCGAAAACCCAGAGTTAAACCTGAAGTTTCCTCGATCACCTCAGATCCTGCTTCGTGGAACAGGCCTCTGGAGAGTCACACTATCAAAATAACAATCAAATGTACTGTTATCAGCCCGGGCATTCCTCTTTAACATGGTGGCCATGTGGGTGTCGCAGTCTGTGACGTGGTATGTGTGCACTGCTAGGGTAACGTATGATAGCGGCATGATGTGAAGGTCCCATGCTTGCGACCTGAATAATCTCAATAAAGCTAACATTCCAAATGAAAACCCATCTCCTTGTGATAGAATAAACTGGCACAATGGTTACCAACTACGAGCCAAGCTGAGCGGTTCCTTACTACAGTTAGAAACAAAATAAGCTGGGAAGGTAACAGCACGTTGGACCTTAAGTGGACTGTAAATTCCACTGCTCTGGTGAAAAAGGCCCTGTAGAGACTGTACAGGACACTGAGGAGGATCAAGCTCTCTGCAAAGTTATTGGAGTCTCTTGATCACTGCTCATTGGAGAGTATCTTAATATACTCTTTCATGGCCTGGTATGGTAACTGTTCAGCATATTAATCTTATTTATTATTTTTAAGATGTGTGTATGAGTAAATAAAACATTTTTCTTTTATAAGAGACAGTAAACTATGATGTATGTGTACATGCAATGACAATAAATGCTTTTGGGGTTTTTTTTTATCTGATCTGATTATAATTTCCATATGTTACATATTTTTTATAGGTATTAATATAGGTCTGCAGTTTCTTTTATCTGGATCAGGAAGTCATTACATCTTCTTGTAACCAAAAAAATGCAAAGTCAGGTCTGACATGAGGATGATTATAGGCAATAGCATAGTGTTGTTTCTGATATTTGTGTGTCTAGTATGTCTAGTATCTTTTTATTTTGACTGTAATTAACATGATTTATGGATGGAGTTTATAAAATGTCCTATGAGCTACAATGTTAAAAATATATGCAAGCAATCAAGTTTATTTATATAGAGCCCCTTCATTTACAGAGGTTAATCAAAATGCTTTACAGGCAAATGTAAATATATAAAATAAAATAAGACATAATAAAAATGGAATACATTACATTGGATGAATAAAAAAAAAGTACAGGCAAGTTTTAAAAAAAGGGCACAGAGATTTATAAACTAATCAAGAATGATGAAAAAAAACCTGCTAAAACAAACAAACAGGTGATAAAAAAAAAAAAGAAAAAATTTAATGGATAGAGAATGAAATGAAATAAATGAATTTAAATAAAGTGAACACAAACAAACAAACCACTGACATGACTGTTATCTTGAGTGAAGAGTAGGTAAAATAATCTAAACATGAGGATAATTTCTCACGTGGAAGACCATCAGTTCTGGGAAGAACAACTGAGGTGATGTGTGTTTTATTTTGAAGAGTTCCGCTGCGGCTCAGCTTCCTGTCTAGTAGCTGCAGTCTCCGCTCCACCGCCTTCCATAGACAGCCGTAGTATCACATGCCACTGTTCGACTGCAAACGGAGTAACTTTATACTAGCTTAACAGCCAAACCGACAACATTTGGACTGCAAGACAAGCTGCTTTCTAGTTCCTACACGTCCCAAATGGACACTGTTCAGGTAGGTGACTTGCTGAATAGCAGGTTGATATGAATTAGCGCTAGCATGTCGCTAGCAGAGGGTTGGCTCACTGGGCAGGGCCAGTTAGCTGCAAGGTGACAAACAGGTAACGATAGTTGTTTGACTGCCAATGTGAGCGCTTTTCAATTTACACCTGCCTAACTGTATATTTCTGTGTCCTTGTTCGTCTTTGTACACACTCTGTTGTTTTATCCTCAGAAAGCGGTGTCTGGATTTTCTCTAGACCTCGGACCTTTGAAGGAACCTCTTGGATTTATTCGTGTCCTAGAATGGGTGAGTAAAGTCAAAAAGTACCTCTGATGGTTTTCAAATTCGATCGCAAACAACGGTAATGTGAGTCATCCTACTGTGTCTCTGTGTCTAGTTACTCAGCATTCCCATCATTTGTTCCTCGTGATGTTGATATTCTTTAAATCCATTTCACTGACTCCAAGCGCGAGACCAGGGCAAGTGTCAGCAAAGTTTTTGTGGCAGGTTTTCTGGTACATAGGGCCTAAAAACTTTTGCAGATTCTTCTTCCTGCTTGGTTCATTTTAATCTTTGCGATCTTTGACTTTTGACCTGATTCAGTTGAGCTACATTTTGCCATAGCTTGTGCATTTACGAAGCGTGTAGGTCGTCTTACGGGTTTCCTAGGTGAAATGTTAACCTAAATGACGCAGCCATCCGTGGGTTGTAAAACCTTACCCTTTTCCGTAATAAAACTTGATTACACAAAGCAGTGGATCCACCTGGAAGCTTAAAGGGCTACCAGTGAATTCCCAGATATTGTGACTATAATATTGAAATAGTTAAGATAAGATCTGCTGCATAATTTCAGTGATAAAGTTGCACCCACAAGATGAGTGTTGTTGGTACTCTGTGCTGTGATCGTTAAGTCAGGTGGTCAAAACTGAAAGCAGAAATCTGAGTTGGGGCTCCTGTGAACCAGCTCTGTGTGGCTGTTGTGAGGAATGTCAGCTGCTGAGAATCAAATATCTTGGATGTCTGTGCTGCTGCTGCTCAGTCGAACGTGCTCTAAATATTACCACTGTGTAAGTCTTTGCGAATGGACTGTATGTTAAAAAAAGAAAACCGTTTGGGAATGCCCCCCCTACTTTGCAGCTTCTAATAGTCGTGCTTGGTGCTTCTGGTTGATGCATGCACCGCTGTGCTAACTGCTCCTTGACAGCATGCAGTGCAGTTTGTATTTAAGGTGTGGACTTGTGGAGCAGCCATGTCCTGGTGCTCGTTAACATACAGGAGGCATTATCGGTTGCTGTTCCACGCCTAGAAGGCCAGTGAAAAGCTTTGCTGTAGATTCCATTTTTAAGGTCATTTGCACAATGTGATTACTACTAGTGTTGATATGAAACCTCTCTAATAATAATGTCAACGTAATTATCATCAAACCACATGACTTTTTGAATCATTTACTATTAGTAGCATCATTTTTTTCTTTAAAACCACAAGCAGACAGATATTATGTAAATAAGAGTTTAGGCAAAATATCAAAGCCATATTATATTGGAGGCCTAAACTGAAAGGGGATTTTCTTTTGGGATTCTCTTTTAAAATGGGAATCAGTCATTTCAAACTAAAATCCAAATAAACACATAGAGTAGGTTGTAGACTTGAACCAGTGTGATTGGGAACCAAATCATTGTTTACCTTTGTCTTCTTCTCTAGATATGGATTTTTTCCCCCTGGTTAGAGCAATAAAACATGAGAAAAACATATCATGTTTGGGGTGGAACACATCATCTATTTTTCATGACTGGCATCAAATATATGTCAAGGCATGAAAATCTGATGTAAGATGTTTGTATTTGGTCGTTGTTATATTATGCTGCTACCACCCTGATGACCTAATGCAATGATAATTCCTGAAAAATTGCAAAAACTATATCTCCTCCAAACCAAGGCATAAACCTTGGTTTGGAGGGGGGGGGGATTTCAAAAAGTTTCCTGTCTCATCCAGGAAACAAGAGGTGTAAATACCATTTAGGGGCATCACTGCATATTAGCTGAATTACTATTACTATTACATATTACTTATTACTGTGGACAATTATTACTGTCCACAAACGCTCAAATGTTTGAAGCCAACAAAAAAAAAAAAAAAAGGAGAGGGAGGTTTGAGCTGGCTGCTGTTTTTCTAGGACCATGTGCCCATCCACAAAAATATTTATCTTGGAAGGTATTTAATATATCAAGCTGAAATTTCACTAATATCTTTACATAGATTCATAGTTTATGTTAATAAAAAATAATTAAAATAGGAAACTCGGAGATGGTCGAACTGAAATTGTTCTAAAAATTTGATGATCTGAGATTAAGTGACCCTGATGTACAGGCTTACCTGGTCAAACAAGTAAAACAGCAGCAATGACAGATAAAAGCTCCAGTTTATACACTGGAGCCAGGGACGTGAGCAAGCTATGTTTTGCATGTTTAGGAATCAAACGTATTTTGCTGGTGGGGTCGGTTATTTCAAAGATGGTGCTGCATTGTGGTCAAGACCAGCCAGGTTCACCTTTTTTGCTACACTGGCAAATTGGCCATGTTCAACTGACCACTGTAGTTTTTTCTCTTAGAGCTGCTGCTGGTCTAAACAAGGCCTAAAACTCCAGGCTAAGCATGATTTGATTTGTCGAAGTTTTGGTACAGATGCAAAAATAGTACTTCTGGTGAGGAACACAAACATGATTGCGGTTTGCGCTGCGATCAGTATGGGTTTCAGTCAGCGCACAAAAAATGTTTTCAAAACTTCCAACGGGGCATCCTCTCAAGTGGGACGCTTTCAGTTTGTTGCACACACTTCAACAGAAGATGTACTTGTCCCGTGCTAAGTAGTAAGAATTAGCACTAGCTTGCTAGTACAAAAGCTTCCCTCCCAGAGTCTCAATACAACTGCAAAGCGATCATATAATTCGGGAAATTCACACTCACAGCACCGGCTTTTTCTCCACTTTGCCCTCCATGCCATCCAGGATACTTTTCTATTGCCCGTGCAGTCATACATCATAGTGCACAGCAGTCAAAGTTCAGCAAAATTGAACTTCCACTTTGGCGTATTATTACTAAGTCTCAAAGTTGACAAATCAAAAAAACAGTGTTTTGAAAAACTAAAAGTAGAAGTTCAGTGCCACAAAAATAAATGCTCTTGTGATCACACACACAAGTTCTAAAACCCGTGATCACTGACACCAGATTGATCCCGTATTTGATTTATAATCAGTGTAACTGCTGAACATGATAATAAAATTATCTGTGAGCACCAGAACCTTCTCGGTTTTAGACCCATGGACTAAGTCTTATCTGTGTGTTTGCATCATGCACAAAGAAAGAATTGCCAGAGGAATAGAAAATTCTGATTTTGAAACTTCACAAAGGTGGAAAATAATACAGGAAGGTCAATGACCAATTCGAAATCAGTTGGAGCACAGCTGCAATCAGGAGCAAGCCATAGTACCACTAATCAGAACCATAGTGACCTTCTGCCTAAAATGACACCACGGGCAGTGTGCTACTAGCACAGCCAAGCTGTAAAAGACATCCGGGCAAGTGCTTCAGACTTTGCAAAGGGTTTATCACCAGTAATCAACTTCTATTGATGGTGTCCAAGAATAAAACTCTTGCTTGTTCTTCAGTACAAAACTGCAAGATTAAACTTTGCTCAAAAACACACAAAAAAATAACCTATTAAGGGTACATTATGTGGTCAAATGTGACCAAAAATAATTTTCTTGGCTCAGATGGAGTTCAGCATGTTTGCCATGAATCTGGCCAGGACTGTCAACAGTGAAGCACGGAGGTGGGAGTGTGATGATATGGGGCTGCATGTAGTAACATGGATACACTGTAATATGTAGTGAAGAATCATTTAGTTTGAATCAGTGATAAAGCCATTCTCTAGCATTGAAATGTCCCTCCAAAAAATGAAACAGTGAGGTCTCAAATGCAAATTTCTGGTTCATTTTCTCTCTAGATGCTACCAGTTATTAGTGTCTTGTCAATGGATAGGCCTGTATGTGGAAATACGGTTGTCAGTTTGCTGGCTTTGTTGGAGTTTCAAGATCTCGACTCCTCTCTTAAGTAGAGGAGGTTTAAAACCTTCCTATTTTAAATTTCTCAAGTTCAATTTGTTATTAGTCTGCTTCAGTCTCAAGGCTGAAATAGACAGAATTCTTCCAGGGTGAGGCATTCTTTATATTGTGGTGCTGAGAGAAAGTTCTCCTCTCTCCTCTGCATGCTCTTGGAAGATGTTTATAATTGATATTACTGAATGTCAGGCAAGCATGTATGTCGCAGGCTGGATGGACATTAGCCAAAAACAGCAGTTTTTCACAGGAAGTCAGAGAGCCAGTTGTCAAGCTGTTTTTGCTGTTTGGATCTGTTGATTCTGATGGTGGGTTAAAGTTACTGTTGCCTTTCATCTACTCTCTGTGCTATATACAAACATAGGTTGTAATAAAATGCTGAAATGCTTACATCAGGGCCTTGTGACTTGCTTCTGTCATCTCTTATCAGTCCTGCCACTCCCTGACTAGGAGAGGTGGGGAGGAATGCGCCAGTCTGTGAGAGACCGGTGGAAACACTGGACTCTGGACAGGGAACCTCCTCCCTGTCTGGAGGGTTTATTTGGGGTGCTATCAGATTGGCCTGGGTGGGTCAAGTAGGGCTAAGATGAAATCTGAGAAATGTTGTGGAAATCCAGAGATACCTGAAAGATGAAACCCATTCTTGAAAATCCTCAGTGGGTGTAATGCTTGCTAAATACTGCACTCCTTTTCTCTGTGTGGGTTTGTGTTGTGTATTTTGCTGTCTTTACAATTGTGCTACAATCTGTTCACCTCAGTGCTTGGTCCGGTACTTTGGCTCACTGTATATAACTGTTATTCAAAAGCATCCTGATAGTTTGAGAATGTGGCTTGGTGGATGTGGGTGGAAGTGAACAAAGGACATTATTCTTGAGAGGAAGTACGGAAGCAAGAATCACATGCCTTTAATGAAAAGCTTTTCACTGGAGGAAGGGGGGATGTGTGTGTGGGGAGATCTCCCATTTGGTTGCCTGTAAATCAATTGAAGGATTGCATGGATTACATCAAAACAAGTAATGGTCATTTTCCATTGCTTTTGGCTGATAAAAATCCTAAAAACACTGCAAAGTGCCAAATATGCACCATCATCCAGCCACTGTTTCACTAGAGGTGTACTGGTGCATACATATGGGCCATTCCACCTCAAATCATCAGGGGCCTTCTGCTCAACAATCTGATTTTTTTGTTTGTTTTTTAAAAACTTTGTTATCATAAACTATTGATATTTCAAATGCTATTTGTGACAGTTTCACTATACTAATCTACGTATATATGTACAGTGCTTAACAAACGTATTCGACCACCTGTCATAAAAATGAGAAAACATAAATATTTTAGAAATCTGTCAAAAACTTGCTTAAATCTAAAAATATTATTTGTACTTATTTGACAAATAACAAACTGAAACAACTAAACAGTCTTTTTTTCACACATAATAGCCAAACAACATAACATTTTGTCTGTCGTCCTTTGGCCTTGATAACAGCTTGCTTCTTGCTGCCTTTGTTTTTATGTACTTTTTAACATTCTCTTTTGTTTTTCAGTTCCATATAGTTTCTAGCTGTTCCCACAGACTTGCTGTAGATTAAACATTAGTACGATCAGTCTTTGAATGTTCTACATCCCAAATTAGTTAAATAGGATTCAAATCTGGACGTTGACTTGGCCTGTTCGTCAGTTCCAGAACTCCAGATTTCTTTTTCTTGGTCAGATAGTCTCTGGACAGCTTTGAAGTTTGCTTGGGGTCATTCTCTTGTTGGTATACGAACCCACGACCAATCAGATTCAGTCCAGAAGGGATTCCATGTTGCACTAAGATGTTGTGGTAGATCAGGGATCTCCAACTCTGGTCCTTGTGAGCTACTGTCCTGCAGGTTTTAGACGTGTCCGTACTGCAACACACCTGATTCAAATTAATGGATCTCCAACAGCTTGTTGTCAAGTTCTACAGAAGTCTGTTAATGATCCATTAATGTGAATCAGGTGTGTTGCAATACGAACACATCTAAAACCTGGAGGACAGTAACTCACGAGGACCGGAGTTGGAGATCCCTGTGGCAGATGTTCGTGTTCATGATACTGTTGATTTTCACTAATTTGCCCGTGCCGTTTCCACAAATGGAACCCTATACCATAATGGAATCTCCACCGTGTTTCACTGTGGGTGCAATGCATCTGGCATCAACACGTTCTCCAGCTTTACCGTGGACATAAACACGATGATGCTGACCGAAGACTTCAAAGTTGGACTCGTCCGTCCAGAGCACTTTCTTCCAGTCATCAACAGTCCATTGTTTGTGCTCGCTGGCAAATCTGAGGCATTTCTGGATGTTTGCAAGCTGCAATAATGGCTTCTTAGCAGCTATTCTTCCCTTTAAGCCTTGTTCCATCAGTCGTCTGCTTGTGGTCATTCTGGAGACTTTATGCTCAAGTATGCTTTGTAGTAAGGGCATTTTATGAGATTTTTCACAAATCTGGCAACTAAATCGTTACCAAACAACTTCTTCACCAATATGTTTGTAAAGGTGTAATAACATGCCTTAATATGTTGAAGTTCAACTC